AGAGGAAGAAGGCGGTAGGTAAACACTAAATATGAGTGCCCTGGAAGGCCTTCCCTATAGCTGTCACATCTCATAAAAAACATGTAGGGGCAATAAATGAAACAGAAAAACTTCTCAGCACCTTGATATGTCAATATGATTGTTTACCTTCTTTTTCCTTTTTGCCGCTTACTATTTCAAGTAAGAATTTTTTTCTCAAGTTCAAAAACTTCAGTTATAGTTTACAGAAATGTGAAAGAAGATAAAGGCTAGAAAAGACAAACAGGAATAGACTGTTATCTTAGAATATTTTAATTTCCTAGGACCTGTGTTTCAGTTCAATAATTGGAACCATTGTTTCAGGCATTTTTTTCTACTTCAATATATCTGACCATGACAGCAAATATTTGCATAATTTTTTTTTGCATGTTAGCTGCTTTACATACAATGCAGAAAGACAAGACAGGGAAAATCTCTTTAAGATGACTGAATACATTAAAACTACACTTGGCCTTAACTTAAAACGCAGTTCCCAGGGGAGTTCCTCTCCCACGAATTAGACTGAAGATCCCGCTGGTTTATTAGGCTTGCCGTCATGCCTGAAGGAACCCAAGAAGGGAGCAGCCCTGCTAACAAAATCAGGCTCTTTTCCCTAAAATCTGTGGTAACCCATCCATCTTCCTGATTTAACCTGTCTACTTTAATTTTCAGCTCATAAATAGTAAATAACAATTAATTACCACAATATAAGTCTACCATTAATGTTCATATTTTCTACATAAGGTTTACAGCACACTGCATACATACATAGAATTATTTCTGTCTTTGGGTCAAATTATTTCTATCTTTGGGTCACTGCTACCCCCTAAGTCACTTCCCCATTCTGTGCTAGGGTTTCCCTAAGTGTGTGAGATGAGAGCTGTGACACTGGATCTCTCCACAATCCTTTTTAAAGGGCTGTAAGAAATACTATAAAATATAATATGATTATGATCATTATTATTTGTTATTTTTGTATAAGAGAAGGTGCAGACCACTAGTCTTCCAGTATTGCCCAGCACTCTCCATCCTCCTCATTGAATTTGCAACCCCATGTTGCATATTTATGGAAATCACCCCTTACAATACATCCTTATGTGAAGTCACCCTCACAAGTAGCCTAATCCTATGGGAACTGTTGCTGCAGTGGGGGCGAGGGAGGCGATGGTGATGCCTTCAGGGCTGGGGTGGCCCTGGACAACCACCCAACCTTGCCCTTATCATGCAGCATTCATCATTTTGATGATTTGCCACAAATATCTGCAAGTCTTGGCTTCTCTATGGCCATGCAATTGGCAGTGTGGGCCACAGGGGCTGGTGGGCATCACGATGTGCCCACCAGCTCCTTGGGCAACCATGGGCAGCTTGGCGAGAGCCCTGGCGCGCTCCTCAGGCTGCAGCTGATTCCTGCTCTCACAGTTTTGCCAGCTAATTGTTTCCCACAGTTATCAACATGGAAAAGAATCCCAGCTTTCAAATAGGTATTTTAAAATACATTTAATTTTCTCTTGCACAGTGAATTAATTTCTTTTAATACCTCCCTTTATCTGCAGGCTGCAGATTGATGAGACAAGTGTCGGTTTCTGATGGACCTTTTGGCCAAGGAAGATTTCATTTCAGACACTGAGTCAGAAATTTAAATAGAAATTCCTCTGCATCTGGAGTTGGCATCTAAGTCAGACAATGAAACTTYTTCACAAGTTTTTCAGTATTAAGCTGTGTGCTGTCTGCCAGAATACAGCCTGATCACTGCTCCAGGCTGGACTTCTAGTTCTGCTACCATTCACATTTAGTTTTGTTCCTATTCTTAATTTCATAACACTGCTAATAAAAGTGTTATCACAGAAAGGACCGATAAAGACATCATCGTAAAAGATACATAGCAGAAAAATGACTTAAAATGGGACAATTTTAGGACTAGTTTTAGATTATCTTTAAAAACAAGAAATATTTGTCATTGATAGTTTCTGAAAAACATGGAAACAAAAGCTGAGGGAGTGATGGCCATTTATTACTGTCTCTTTGGTCAGCACGATGATCCCTATTAATACAGGAAGCCTAATGCATACATGTAGCTGTGACCTCTCCTATAACATAAGAGAGAAAAGTCTTCTTTTGCTCTACTCTCAAATTAAAAATTCTCCAACACTGCATATCACATTGTTTCCTATTTATGGTTTTTTTTTTTTCATTTTGACTATTCATGCATAGGATAAGCCAGACTCTTTATTATATGAAACAGAGGCTGATTCGGGAAGAACATTTGGCTTGCAGGGTCTGAAATTACAGTCATTAMATAAAACAGCACATCTTCATTTAACCATTTAACAGGCCTCTGCTAGGAGCCAAGCATGACATTTCAAAATATGAACAGGTCCCAAAGAAGAGTTTAAGATTGATCTCCTTGGCAGACAGAGTYGGTAGTTTTGGTCCTATCCTCTCAGCAAAAGGATATAGCAAAACTGGGAAAAGTTCAAGGATGGGCAGCCACGGTAACCAAACATGCAGGAGGTTTCTGAGAGAGGAGCAAGCACATACAGCAAGCGCTTTTCTGCCTGGAGAAGAGATGACCTGGGGGAAACGCAAGAGACCTATGAAACCAGAGCTGGCCTGGGGCAGTGGGTAGGGACCGAAGGTTTGCCTTCACTTCCAACACAAGAGAAGAAGTTAGGGTAGATAAGCAAATACAAAACAAAGTGGAAAAACAAATCCGAAAGGATGGTTGGAGAAACTTGCTGCCAAAGTCATGGCAGCAGTGTTGCACATGCAAAAAATTTACATGGGTTCAAAGGGAGACTGAGCAAATACCTGGARGACATACCTCTCGGGGGTTATTATGTAGACAGAAACTGTAATCAGGAAATCCCTAAGCCGAAGGTAGCTCGAGGCTGGGAGAGTAGCCAAGGGAAGAATCAAATATACGTGTATCCCTATTCTGACTCCCTCCTACAGCAGCTGTTTGTGGTTCCTGCTGCAGACAGGACACAGGGCAAGCAGACTCTCTGCCAAATCCTTTATCACAGAGTCACAGAGTGGTTGAGATTGGAAGGGACCTGTACGGAGCATCTAGGGCAACCCACCTGCTCAAACAAGGACACCTACAGCACATGGCACAGGGCGGCATCCAGGCGAGTTTAGAAGATCTCCAGAGAAGGAGACTCCACAACCTGTCCAGGTAGCCTGTTCCAGGGCTCTGTCACCCTCACTGTAAGGAAACTCTTCCTCACATGGAGATGGAACTTCTTTATGACCATTCTTACGTTCTTACTGGTAGGTTTATTATTAGTGATTCGCACTTAGGCCTACAGTCTTTCTTTCAGAAGCATGACTGTTGTATTTATTTCAGATGTATACACTGACCATTTCTAACTCAGCTTTTACAGAGCAGAATATCAGTGCAAAGCAGGCCACCTGCTTTGATGTCAAGGAAAAGCTCTCCAAATGTTGCTTATCAGTTCTCAGCTCACATTTGAAGCAGAGTTTCAGAGCTGAGCTACCTGTGTGGTCTAGGGGCAGCACCCATGGACACGTCACGTCCAGCAGCTGCAACGTTGGCTGCTGCTGGACATCCATSTCTGAGTCTCACGAGAGTCACACAGGGACCTGCAGAGTTCTCACCTACTTTGCATAACACCAGAGCAAATATATGTTTTCCAGAACACCTTGGTGCAATGAATCCCACAGAGGACTTGCTGACAGTACCGACAGGCAGAGGTGAATGTGCTACTGTGCTGCAGGCTTGCTCATTAAAAATAATAATAATAATAAAAAAAGGCCCTAAAGCCATACCTGGTTGGAGTGGTCAAAATTTTCCCCCACAGAGCCTGACATACCGGTGACCTCCCCACACTGACTCAATGGGCCAGGGGAGTCCATCAGTGCCCCTTGGCAAATGGCCCTGGGCAGAGCTCAGCTCCCTTCTCCCTGGTCCTTTCCTGCCCCATTTTTTCTTCTCATTTCTTGTGTTTGTCAGATATTCAARTATCCTTGACAGAAACTGTCCTAGATTGCTGAGGAGTAACTAAACCACTGTGCTAAGTTTATGAGCATGGTATGATTTACAGCTCAGCCTTCAGTTTGTGTCACTCTATATGTTAGAAGATGMGAGTCTATAGGAAAGCAACATTTCAGTTTATTACCTCTGAGAAAAAAGAACATGCCTTCCTCAGCAATTCATATGCAAGCCATGCTGTCTACTCACAGCAGTTTAACTGCCCTCTGGTGTCTTTCCTCAAAAAAACAGTCTTTACTTGTACCATCAGCCAGCTGTGAACAGAATCTCCACAACAAAATCTACCAGCGCAAAAGGAGCTCTAGTTTAAAACCACACTTAATTCAGCTCTCAGACATGGGAAGACTGTAGGCAGTGTTTGAAGCATCAGAAAGAGCAGTGCACCTGTATGGTCTATCACCCGTGCCACATCATGGATGTAAGGGCACTGGCCTGAAGAAAAGGACACTTCAGCATTCAAATCCTCTGCCTTTAAAAGTACTGAGACACAAGTGCTAAACCTTTCCATTAACATCTTCTCCTATTAGGCAATGTTGTCTTCAGATTCTTCCAACTAAGACTGGCCTTGAAGAGACAACAAAGTGAAACAGCCTCCATTTCCTGGCTGAAAATGCGGGTGCTAGTACTAAATGCAGTGTTTCCACAGAGTATGCAGTCTTGGTAACAGGTCTTTGCAATGTTGGGCTTCAGGTGCTCATCAGTATCTCATGTCAGAACCCACAACTTTCTGCCTGTCAAGTTTCTAGCACAGTTTCAGATCTTATGGTAATAATTTCACCTTTCTGACAAGTTAGCCTGCATCCCATGTGAAGCTCATTTCCAAAGAGTAACCTGGCATTAAAAATGTGTTACCAAAGTTACATTTTTTTAACTGCAAACTATTTTAAAGCTATTTTAAAGGCTGGGTACACRGAGCGAACACACAGGCAAAGACAGGAGTGGAGAAAGGGGATGCGAAACGGGGTCTTACCCAGAGACCTCTCCTTGGTTTGGTTGGCTGACCTCACCACGGGCAGGCTGGCGCGCGTGCGGCTGCCCCGGGAGAAGGGCGTTGGAGAGTCGCCCTCCGACATGGCTTCCAGGGAGTCGCCAGACGCTTCGGAGAGACGCTCCGCCGGGTCACCCGGCGCGGGCTGCGGGCTCGGCGACGGCTTGGGGCTCCTCGTCTGCAAAACACAGCGCCGCATTACCCGTCTGCTGAAGCATGAATGTAGGGGGGGAAAACAGAGAGACCGCCAAAGTCCAGGCTGCTTCAGATACTGGGAYGTGAAGGTGGCCTCTGCGCATTTTAAGAAAATAGAGTCCTTGGGATTTTTGTTAAGTTTTTTATTGCTGTATATTCACAGTGTAAATTTTGTTACTAACAGCTCCCTGGGAATAAGGACTGCTGAAGAGATGTATGGTATTCCCTTCCTTGCTGCTCCAACAGTCACTTTACACAGCATAGGCGTATGCACTGTAATACAGCATACATATGTGCAAATGTATATGTACCTGTACACATGTACAGGTGTGTATATGCACACACACACAACCAAATGTGTAACATCAGAAACTTATTCACGGTACTTTTAAATCCTCAGTTCCTAGAGGCATGAAGAAGGCACTAGCAACACAGTAGCATGTTAACTTTATTTAAGCCATCTGGATCTATATTTATAATGGAGAAAAACTGCTGCTCTTATCTAAGCAGCCTAAGTATCAAGTCTACTAAGAAAACTATCCCCAAAATAAATGTTATGAGATAGTAGCTAGCTGTCAATCTCAATACATTCTGCTGTGCAGTCTGTAAAAGATACAGGCCATGCAGCAAGGCCAGTTAGCTCTCTAACATTTCTACCTGAAGTCACAAGGACTTTTTCTACTTTTAGTTGCATCAGCATAAATCATAAATTGTCTTAACTGACCAAATTGCCTGTGATTTTTACTGGGCAATCATACTAGTAAATTGCTAGGCAGTACCTAAAATGACAGACTCTCTGTCTTGGTAGGACTCCATCTAAGCACTTACACTGACCCTTATCCTTGTAAGATCCGCCTAATAAAAACATGCAACGGGAGATAAAATGTCCTGAACATTTTTTTGCTGACTGCAAAAAGCACTTATAGTGTCACTTATGAAGAGGGGCTGCATTAATAAATATAGTAGCACTGTTTGCTAACCCCCCCCAGCCATCTGTTACTATTACTCTGGAATAATAATTTTCCAGTCTCTCAAGCAAATTTTACATTGTGACAAACTGGGACAGACACTGTACAGCAGAAATTCAAAGCAAAACAAGCTTACTTTGAGCCAAAACAAGTATGAAAATAGGGTTTTTAAAATACTTATCAGTACTAGGCACAAGACATCAGCAAATATATCTAGTCTTCTTTCAGCTATTATTTAAGGTCTGATATTAGTACATTAAAAATCCCTTGTATTAAAATCAACTCCAACCTTAGGTTTGAACTTTCTGTCATAATCCAGAAAAGTTTTTCTTTCTTTCTGGAAAGCCCAGGTGACATATCTGGCTGATACCCAGGGCCCTCAGCAGTTTTTCATGTGAGATGAGATGAGCTTGTTTCAGCCACAGCACAGGTCATAAAATATTCCCCATGCGACCTCGAATGAACGAACTACTTTAACTTTGGTTAAATTTTTCATTAATGGCCGCAGAGTCCCTTTGTTGCCAACCTGTCCATTTCCTCACAAATTATAATAAAGCAGAAAAACCTCGGGAGAAAATTAAACCCTCCAGAACTTTTCTGTATTGAAATGTTAATATGAAAATATTAGGTATTATCCAATGTCCTGCAGTGAAATTGTTCAAAAGCTTTGAATTTCTGCAGGAGTTAAAGCTAGCAACATTTGTTCACAGCAACTCAAGTATGCTTTGAAGTGCCCCTGACACGGGCAGCGCTGGTCTGCAGGGTGTGAGCACAGGGACTTGCTCCCTGAAAGCTCTCAGGGTGCTGAGTGGCCTGCAAACATTAAGAAAGAATTTCATTAGTCAGTACTTCTTCATTCAGCTTTCCCGAAACCTCTTGGGAACCATCACTTGTCAAGCTATTTTATTTACTCAGGCATATTTACAGGGGTACTACCAAGCCAAGTCATTACAATTCCTTAATTCCTCTTCCTGATTACTACATAACTGAAATACGAAGCGGAGAGCGGTAACATGAAAAAAATCAAGCTGCAAAAAGTCTCAAAGTTTGGAGCTTGTAGGAGAGAGGATTGCTTTCGTTTCAAGAAGAAAAAGTATTCTGATAAGATGAATCACAGATTTTGTTTCATTTTTCACAAGGTGAAGGCGGGTGCTGGGTGGCTGCAGCCCCTATTAGCAGCAGTAGCTGGGCACAGATGTAGCTGTGGTTCCTGCTGCTCCGTGAGCAACTCCTTGGGATGGCACTCACAGTGTCCATGACCCTGTGTGCAGCAGCCCTCCTGCTGCTGCCCAAACCAAGGGAAACTCCTAATGTGATCCGTGATGTAGGAACATATGCCTTGCTGAAAGCCTCAAGGTATTCGTCATGCTCAGCTAGTGCAAATGTTGTATTTTGGGAAAAATTCTGAATTTTAAGCAGATTGTAAAATATCCCAAAACATAACAACAATAACTCCATTCAAGTAACTGATACGAGGGCATATCTGATAGGAAAGCATTTTTAGTACTGGCAATGAGCAATAACAATTGAGCATATTTCAAGGCAGCCCTTCTTAGGAAAACCAGCCCAGGAAGAGGGAATAGTTACAAGCAATGTCTTTGGAGCCATAAGCTACAAGGATTTGTAAAGACAGATGAAGGAAGGAAGGCAAAAACCTTCTGTGTTATATCAATATTCTGTATGTGTATTCCAAAATCTAGTAAGATAAATAAGACAGATAAGAAAAAAATACTTCACTAAATCATACCATGCACATTGTTTTCCCCAGGAAATGTTCACTAACATATTTGAAAATTACTCAAACACTCAATATTTCATGAAGTGTCCTTTTAAATGCCCAGTTTTCTAGAGCTACTGTTCAGAAAAGCAATTACAAAAGTAAATATTCAATATATTCCATGTTTGAGTGACGCCCCCCAGAACCCAAGTCGAGCAGCAGTGAGGACAGCTGCTCCTGCAGGTGGGACAAGAGTGTAACTCTGCATGTTGCATAAAGCCCGTGTGAGCAATGACTGGGACTTGACTGTGTCTGGGCAGATGTCACCTTAACATGCCTGCTAGCAAAGAGCAGAAGGCAAAGTAGGCAACATAGAAGAAACCTCAGGCATTTCACAAAAGAACAGGGCAAAATCAAGTCACTGTAACAGAAGCTCCACACATGAATGAAAAAGCAAGGAAATGCCAGCACCTTTCTAGCCTCAACTGGTATAAGCACCGGAAAACAGGACTCAGAACAAGCCAGTGGTGTCTGCACTTTCCCATATTGCACTTACCACTATTTTATTTCATTTTCTTAGTATAAAAGGATACACACCCATGTAACCTTTKTAAGGTATGCACTTCATTATAACATAGAGAGAAGCAGTTACAGAAGGGCTGGTATCTTCCAAATGCTCTTGTTATTTTAACAAGGAGTAAAATTGTAGTTAATCATGCTTCATGCTTGTATGTCCAAACTATGCAAATTTAACACATTAGTTCTTTCACCAAGTGTGAAATAGATGCAAAAAAATACACGGCTCTGAATAACATTTAAAATAATTAACAGGAAAACAGAAGGTACCTGCAAAAAGAAAAGTGAAGTGCTGCAGAGATGCCAATCACAGCAACACAGTGAGCAGTCACTGGGCACCAGAGATGTCCCACGCAAGCTGGTTCTTCTGTTCCTCTGCTCACACTGACTTCCACTAGCCCCTTTACCCTTTTGTTCTACTCAGTTTTATTACTCTGCTCCTTAGAACTTCCTTCCAGGCTCATTTCCGGTTGTTTTTCATACTAATCAATATATCTGAACATTTTTACATTCTTTTCCTTTTCAAAATGTCTCCTGAAAATTTACTCCATACATTTTCACATGCACACACGCATGCAAAAAATACCCTTTCAAAATCCCATAACCTGAAGCAGGAATAATTTTACATCTTCCACAGTTTACACTTTTTATTTCCCAGCTCCAGGAATTTCTTCAGACTTTATCTAGACAAACTGCTATCTCTTCGGGAGAAGAATCTTATCATACACATCTTCCGAGTTGCTAGCACTGTTGGCAAGGTAGGTAACAGTAAACAGACATCAAAACATGATACAGCCCTAGTAAAATAACTCTATGCAACCATGTGCTCTAAAGAACACACAACATAGGGAAAAGAAAATTGACATTTCCTTGACATTTCAAAGAAAGAAGGAAAAAAGAAAAAAAAATGTTTTTCTTGACCTTCAGTAAAATGTTTCTCCTGTGACTTGGCTAGAAGATGGCTACTGCATATGTGACAGTCTGCAAATACAGCTATCAACTCTCTGTATTTAATATATGAGTTTATTAACTCAGAAATATTGTAATAGTTTGGGAGCTCTTCTTACCATAACAATAATACTTCTTCCTCATGCCTGTGTCAGATCACAGTCACTTAAAGGAAGGATCCATTTTTTCAAAGATGCAGAGTCTTTGGGGTCCTGTATCATCACAACTACAAAGTTTTACTTGTCTGGAGATGTTGTTAGTGATATATTGTTGACTGCTAGTCATGAGGTTTTATTTTTAAGTATTTATTATATCAATACCTTCCATAGACTTTAGAAAAATTAAATTTCTATATATGCCTGTATAAATTCAAGTTTATGTTACCTCTGTGCATCTAAGTGGGAGACCTTTGCCTGTTGCAAAAGATTTTCATATGTGAAAACAGAAAATACAGAAAACTTGTTTCTGTTGAGTCAATGCTAGGTGAAGCAGCTGATCCTTGCTTGTACGCCTKCTCAGTCTATGGCAGTATGAACTTGCTGCACCCATCAAGGCATCCAAGGAGAGGGCCCAGGGCAGATCCTCTCCTGTTCCAAGGAAGGGAGGACACAGACCCTTCAAGTTTTGCCCAAGTAAGGCAAAAAAGAGCTTCTCTTTCCTTCTCTGCACCACCAAGCAGGCTGCAAAGATGAACTCATCCCAAGACACTGAGTGCCACAGGGAGATGCATTAAGACCTGATAAGGCTCYGTCACAGCCAAGGCTTATCAGAGCC